TGCAGAAAGCAGCAAGCAAAACGTGGTGCCCTCAACCTTAACCTGCGCTGGTATATCCCCACGTGCCTTCTCGGGCTCTCTTTCAGCCCTGTGTAACGTACTGCCTAAGGTCTGGCTTCCGGCCCGCTGAGCGGTTTTCTTATCTCTTTGACGAATATATTTAAGGTCTGATGTGCTCTCTGTTGCTTCCCCCCCGCCCCGTTCCTGCAGTTCCAGTCTAAAGGCGTTTGTCCGCGTTAGGGCTTTTTTGGACTGCGAAGTCCGCAGGCAAAGCGGGTTCTTCCTTCAAAGTCGCTTAACGCTGTTATTGCTACTGTGGAGACGGTGGGTGCAGCAGGCAACGCTGAATGCAGAAATAAGAGTATTTTTACGTGGAGCCTGGACACGCTTGGGATCCCTCTGCAGCAAGAGAATAGGTCAGTGGAAGTGAAGGAAATGAAAGATGTCACATATATATAATCCTATTGAAGTCGCAACCTTAATGAGCTAATGCAAATAATGCTCTTGGGCCAGCGAAATACCATGGGGAATGTACTGGTAATTCATAGGGTTTTCAAGCGTTGGGTTTATGTTTGAACTCTGTGAAGGGCGTATTGGCTCTACCTCACTTCAGTCAAAGCCATTGGACGTGACTTGAGCCGTATGAAGTCATGGCATACCGGTCTGTTGGTTTGTACATAATAAACGTTGTTGCGCGTAAGTACTAAAAACTCCTTTGACATAATTGCTGTTTCCATTTTCTTAAATATTTTTTATCATTCACTTGGTTTTAAGAAGGGCTTAAGTTTTTTTCTTTGCATATATCTGATTTTAAAAAAAATTGTGATTGATATAGTCGGACCATCCGGGTAAAAAAATCAATGTGCTCTGACTTTCTAGCGTGCACCTTATCAAGTAGTTTAAAAGCATAGCAGAAACGTAGGCCGTTTCAGTCGTGCCAATATTTAATTGCCTGCTGCGCACCTTCTGTCTTCTCTTCCTCCCACTTACTTTGTTCATGTTATATTACACTAGTCACACGTCGGATGAGCGTAGATCCCTTGGCATGTGCAGTTGCCTGAACTGTCAAGCACCAAAGAATCACCAGCATTCCCACATCTTGAATAATCTGCAGGCTAAGGTAGTTTAACAGAGAGGATGCTGAAGCCAGAACTTAGAAGATTTTCCTGTGCCACCTAAGGAACTGCAAGAAGTCAGTGCGCTGTCTTCACGCAGAGGTCCTTTGTGAAGATGGCACATGTTCAGTTAATTAAAGGGAGCTGTGGAAGGATGGAGTGTGTCTATTGTACATGTAATATTCAGGGAATATTACTAGCCTGTAATTATCCTATAAAGTTTGTTACAATCCTCTAATAAACTCAGTTCCATTTGGTCAGGTTTTGAGGTTTTCACAGAAGTGGCAAAGGAACATCACTCCTAAGCTGACGTTTCAAAGGATGGGGACGTACAACTTCGTGCTCTTTCACTTCCTAAGGAATTGCAATTACCGCGTCTGCAAATCTTTCATAATAGTAACATTTCAGTTGGCTGACTGATTTTGACCAAATCGGGCAGAAGACAGAATATTTTTCTGTGCGTTTAGTGAAAATTGGTGGGTAGAATCACCAGCCAGACCTGGAATTAAGCCTGGAATGGCTTAATTCCTTCAAGCAAGGCAGGAATGAGAGCTCAGCCTTTATTGGGGTGGGGCAGCGGCGGGAAGAGGAGGGCAGTAGTGAAGTGGCATATATTCACGCATTTCCAGCTTGCTAATCAGAGTATGCAGAGCTTTAAAAAAAATCACAGTGCATATCTTATTGATGAGCTATGATAGCATTATTGAATCCATTGGGATTAATTGTTTACTACTGGGAATATAGGGTTCACATGTGATCACGTCAGTGACTTCCGAAAGTTAGTAATTTGAATGGGCGTCCCAGATCGTCATCTGAATTAGGAATGTTTGTTTTGTTATATGACATTAGTATTTTGCATGGTACTTAATCTTCAGCCTTGTGTTAAACTTGATTCAAAAGCAAATTGTATTGTTCATAGAAAGTGAAAATAAACTGTCTTCTATTTCCAGATACGAAGGAAAATAATGACTTCCAGTGATCTCTGCAAATGCCTTTTGCAGAGAAAGCAAAGTAGCAAGTTTTCAGCATAGGCTCTGCCGATTTCCATTTGTTTTAAATTTGTGTCTGGGACAAAGATAATGGATTTGGGATATACAGTAATTTCAAGTCTCTATTGAAATTCTTTCTGGTTAAGCAAAGCAAGCTCACCAAAGAGTAAAAATAAATGTGCTATGTTAGAGTTGGCATAATATTTGTTTGTCATAAGCACAATATTTAGCTGAGTAAATAAATTTTGATTGAAGTACTCCGGTTATTTTTATTCTTTGTTGTTTCTCATTTCTTACCTTTCTCATTTCTCATCCATTTCCTCTTCCAGTTTCCAGACCTTCCAACGGTTAAAACTCTTAGTGCTATAGACTACTGAAGGAAATACCGAGTCTCTATAGGACAGCCATTTTGAGTTACACGCTCTTGATCTGTTGTTTTCCTCCAGAGAAATCTCTGAATACATTACGTAGGTCCAATACTAAATTTGCAAAAGCATTTTGTCTCTTTTTCTCTACCTTTTCCTATATTTGCTGGAAGAAAATGTAATTTAAACTCAGAAGGAAAAAGATACAATTACATGCTAATGATAAGAAATTAGTTATTTTGTTTTTGTTTTCATGTATCAATGGTTGCAGCATGTAGTCAGCTGTTCCCTAATGAGATGACTGAGGTTATATAGGCTAGATCTCCCTTAGTTGTAATAATTGCCTGCTATATGCACCATTCGTCGTCTTTTCTTCCCACTTACTTTGTTCCCCATCCATATATTGTGTTTTAAATTCAGAAGATCATTATTTTTAAAGATGTGGGGAGGGCAAGGCAGAATTGTGGATTTAAAACACAATGAAAATGCTAAGTAGGAGAAGATGTGCTTATTAGAAGCACTACCTTTGACTTATTTGGTTAGTTTTGCATTTGCATGTTAAAAGAATCTGAAATTAACATGTTATCTGAAGAAAATGAGCAAGTAGCAGACAGTGAGACTGCGGTAGCTTTCTAATGGGGTGTTTTTTAGACGCTTGATGGATTGTTCAGACTGCCCACCTAGTGCAGCTGATACCCAGCTCTTACTCTTTGTAATACTATACGTGGCATTTCAGCTGTTTCTCCTCTAGTTTCTTGCAGTACTTACGCTGTACGTTAATGACAACTCTTGAGTACTCCTCAACTATTTAGCAGTGTGCTGGGTATGCTTTGATTTTTTTTTTTTTTTTCTATTTTGGGGGAGGGGGGGGGCTGAATTGTGCTGAGCTGTGCTGAAAATGGGTTGGCACCAGATGTGTGGACAGGAGGAGCGCTAACACAGAGTCTCCTGCATAGACAGAGGCATTTCTTGTCCTCAAACCCTCTGACTTATACTGATCTCTGCTTCAGTGAGTTATCTTGAGGCCAAGAGTGTAGACTGCCAAAGCGCGAGGAAGGCAGTGCCCCAGGATACCTCGCTTATGTGTACAAGTCCAAACTGGCGCTGCTACCATCCTTTCAGAGCTGGGACCAGTGCCAGCCCCTCTCCCCGTTCCCGTTCACTGCAGTCGCTACCAGGGGAGTCACTCTGCCTGCTATAGCCTGGTATAGTAAGGGGTTCAGTAACCCCTAAACCTCTGAGGAAAAAAGAAGAATGTCCCATTCTTAGGTAAATTATTTTTGCCAGCGAGATGCAGGCAATACTTGGCTGTCACGAATTATTGATGGAGAAAATGCAAAGGGTGTACCTGGCCATGGGTTTTTTTTGAAATATTTCTGTGAAGAGCTATTGCACCTGCTCTTTCATTGCCTTTTGGCCTGTAGTTCTGCCTGTGCGTCTCCCTGACAAATTGCCATTGTGCCCTTCTCCCTGATTGTCCACTCAGTTGTGATCTTGCACCTGCAGGACCTACCTGGTCTTGTGCTTTGGTAGTCCATATGGACAAGCACTTCAGTGCTGTCCACGTCTGTCCCCTACGACAGGCAAGAGGTGTAGCAATGCCCTCCACGCCTGTTCCCTATAGACACTGCAGAGCTGCCGCAACGCCCTCCACACTCGTCTCCTACAGCCACCGCAGAGCTGTAGCAATGCCCTCCATGCCTGTCCCCTACAGCCACTGCAGAGATGGAGCAGTGCCCCCCATGCTCACCCCTACAGCCACCACGGAGATGGAGCGGTGCCCTCCGCACCTGTCTTCCCAGAGCCACTGCAGCAATGGAGCCGGTTCATTCTTTGGACTAGGCTTGTTCAGTCAATAATTCTGACATGGTTAAGGACTTGTCTTAGCAAGATTACACTGGTTGCTTTTTCTCCCTCTATAGTTTTGGGGGTTTGTTTTCAGAATGAGGCACCTAAAGTTGCCAGTTCCCGAGGAGTGTGGCCTCACAGGCTTGCTAATACATCTCAAACGTCCACCTTGTGAACAACAAGTAGAACGTTTCACGCCAACTTTGCGTATGGCTTTCTGTGCTGAGATCGTTGTAACCTTTTCTATTTGATACCTGCTTAGTCTTTCTGTTTAGACATCTTGACAAAGATGTAGGTGACAGAGAGAGAGGTGTTTTCCCGCTCTAGCTTGTGATTAAAGCCCTTAATAGCATGTAAAGTGTGAACATATTTATTTGCTGGGGCACAGTGATACCTGTAGAGGACAGGAAAGGTTGCATTTCCCCTGCTGCGACTTTTATTTGGAAGGCCTCTTTGCACAGATGGTGGAGGGCACTGCAGACAGCGAAGTAATCCTGACGATGCCCCTATGCCTTGTATTAAATTGACCCAGTGCTGCAATATTGGGCCTTGAGACAATGATGGCACACTCGCTGCAGGGCTGGAGGGAAGTAAGGACACACGTGGGCTCCCTGGGGGCCCTGTGGTCCTCAGACAGGGCATCACGCGTCTGACAGCAAACGCTAAGCAGCATTTGTGCCGGTGAAGGCCGGCGCCCTGAGCGCCGCTGTGTCCCAGGAGGAGATCACTGGCTTGCCTTGGGAGGCAGCTGCTGCCGTTCTGACACGCGCAGCTCCCCGTGTGCTGCCATGCACGTCTCATCGGTGTGCACAGATCACAGGCGCTGAGGGCAGAGCTCGCGCTGTTCACGCAGGGTGAAATGGACCCTCAGTAGGAGGCAGAAAGGGGGGGGGTTAAATCCCCCCTTCCCGTGTCTGCGTTGCCTGCCATTAGAAGGCCAGGTTAGTAGTTTGGACAAACCCTTCTGAATTTTTTTCTTTTTAAAACAATTTTGAATTTGGTTTGAAAAACCAATCTGTTGCAATGTCAATCACTGCAAATAAAAAGATGCAAAAAAGAAGAGGGAATTTTTGACACCATCAAAATATTGTTCAAAAACGTGTTCCTTAATCATATACTAACTGTGCTGACTTACTCAGGGATACTCTGTATTTTCCTATGTTGCTGCCTGTCAGTTTACAAACAAGATTATCATCTCTGCCTGCCAAATTTCTGCTGTAATCTTGTAACATAAGCAAACAAGTACAAATAAGCATAATTAATAACGACAGAGTATTTACTGTCCAAAAAGCTTCAGCAAGAGACCCTTCTCACTAGAATATGAATATAATAGAATATATTGTATATTCTACACTACACATAGTAAGAACATATGTCATTTTCAAAAATTAGTCACTAAAGTTAAGTTACCTAGCTGTCTTTTTAAGCAGATCCAAATGGCCTGACTATCAAAGGTGTTTAGCAATATCTCACGGGAAAATTAAAATCAAATCAAGCAAAACCAAGAAACCAAGAAAAAAATCTAGTAGCCTGGCTCATGAAAATAGCTCGTAAACACTCACAGCATTTAAATACTAATGAATCTCTCACTATTGATTAAATAAAAAATAACAGTGCATCCTTTCTTTTTGTTTTCTTAAGATCAGGACGTTTCTCTGAGGAAATGGATATGTCTTCTCAAAAATACCCAGTCAAAAAACGAGTGAAAATCCATCCCAACACAGTAACAGTGAAATATACTTCTCATTATCCCCAGCCAGGAGAAGAGGGATATGAGGATGGTAATGAAGATACTGGAGTATTTATGGAGGAGAATCCTAAGAAAAGATTACTGCATGATGGGAAAAAGAGAGAAAGGACCTTTTTTGGTACAATAGACACCCAGCTTCAGCCAGCACAACTGCCAAAACGCAATGAGACTGGGCGATTCCAGAATTTTCCTGAAGGAAGTATCCTGCAGTCGAGGAAAACTTGGGTAGTCCTTTTTGGATCTGCTGTGGCTCACGGATGTGTGGCTCTAATAACACGATTAATTTCCGATCGTTCCAAAGTGCCATCCCTAGAGTTAATTTTCATCCGTTCAGTCTTACAGGTGCTGTCTGTTACAGTTGTGTGTTATTACCATGAGCCTCCCTTTGGCCCCAAAGGGTACAGACTGCGGCTCTTCTTCTATGGTGTCTGCAATGTTATCTCCATTACCTGCGCTTATACCGCCTTCTCTATAGTTCCCCCCAGTAACGGGACCATTATGTGGAGGGCTACCACTACAGTGTTCAGTGCCATTTTGGCTTTTTTATTGCTAGATGAAGGAATGGCTTACATTGACATAATTACTGTAGTTGGCAGCGTGTTTGGTGTTTGTCTGGTCATGATCCCCAACATCGTGAGTGAGGAAAACTCCTTGCTGAGCACCTGGAAGGAAGCTTTTGGCTATACCATGACCGTGATGGCAGGTTTGACCACTGCCCTCTCCATGATAGTCTACAGGTCAATCAAAGATAATATCAGCATGTGGACAGCCCTGTTCACCTTTAGTTGGACGGGAACAGTGTGGGGGGCATCCACCATGTTTTTCCTTCAAGAGCCAATCGTCCCGCTGGATGGAGAAACCTGGAGCTATCTCCTTGCCATCTGCCTGTGCTCCACAGCAGCCTTCCTGGGGGTCTACTATGCCCTAAGCAAGTTCCACCCCGCTCTGGTCAGCACTGTGCAACACCTGGAGATAGTCATCGCTATGGTGCTGCAGCTTGTCGTGCTGCGAATCTTTCCAGGTGCTTATGATCTTGTCGGTGGAGCAGTTATTTTGGTTAGTGTTTTTTTCCTGGCGTGTTATAAATTGTCCTGGAAGAATTTAGGAAGAGAAGATTATCAGGAGATTCTGGATTCTTCCATTAAATGAATTCCAGTTTTGCTGTCCGATCCTGGCTGTGTGGCCACGTGAGAGTATTATTTCAACTCTGTCCTAGTGTAGTCGTCAGGTTCTGTCTCTACTGTTTAAATTCACAGCTGATGTAGCAATGTTGGTATTTCCAGAGTTGCATGACAGGTGAATTTGTTCTAGTGTGTAAAATCCCTGACATTTTTTGACATATGAGTGAAGTATATATGTCTCCAGCATATAGGGTATGTGAGCAAAAGCGTAGGCTAGCCTACAGAAGTGCAGGCCAGGTCATAGGCGTTTTCCTCCTCACCTTCCCTGGATTAGACAATACAGAGACAGAGGGATTCACTAGTGACTCTCATTCCCATGTACTGTGATAGTAGGAAAATGAACAGTAAAAGCATTAAAACAATGAACCAGAGTTTTCAGATCCCATGTAACACTTCCTATGCATTGACTGCAATATTTTAAATGAAGTAATGCTAGTATTTCTGTGGTTTTAACTTGCATTTCCTGTGTGTATACAAAGAAAAGAATAAATCAGTAAAGCTTTTTGTGCACTATAGTTAAATTTCTATCTGAACCTAGATCGCCTGCAAGGGGAAAAGCTCCAAAAAGTGGAACGGTGGCTGAAGGACAGTTCACCACAGCTGGGAGAAAGGTCCCTGAGAACTAGAAGATCTAGCAGGCAGGCAGCCGTCAGCTCTGCAGACCGTAGGAGGACCGTACTGCCAGCAATCACCCAGAGGCTGCGTCGTGTTGTGTGGAGCACTAGGTAGGAGGAACTTGTACAAAACAGAAGCAAAGATCCCTTCTAATAATAGATTGCAAGGACGCTAACTTCAACCACTTTCCCCAGAATGGTTTGAAAAGTCCCCACCTGGCCTTGATGGAGATGTTTCGTTTTCAATTCAGAGTAGGATCACAGAAAGGTTTAAAGCCGCCCAGAATTTGAGAAAGGCTGACAGGATTGTCAAAACAGACTTGAGATGACTTTCCCTAAAGATTCTTTCCAATGCAGAAAATAGTAGTTTCCTATAAAACTCTCTAAAAAAACACCATCAACCAGATGCTTAAAATAATTTGCTGTAACAAACCTCTGGATAGGAATAAGCATGAGACTAGTTTATCTCCTCCACATTAGACCTGTCATCTTAATTAGAGGAAGGAGACAGCTAAAAGAAATAGGATTAAGTGTCTCCACTCTCCATTGTCAAGAATGTATCTTACCTCTCGCTGAAGACTCTGTAGTGCTCCAAAATACTCATCTGCAACCTTGATTTGGCCCACGACAGCAGTTGCAAAGTGGAAGAAGAGTCCCAGAATATTTCTCTTAACTGCTTTTCATCCAATAAAAATGAAATACAGACTCCCTCAAGCTTGAGCCCTACCAGCACTTCATAAGAAAAAAAGGGGAAAGTACCCTGTTTATATCAGCCCAGGAAACGCTAAGCCCACGCCCAGGAGAGCTGTGCACGTAGAAGGCACAGGCTGTTAGCTCTAGAGACATGTGCCTACAGAACAGCCCAAGGGGATTTACTGGGGTGTTGGCAAAGAAGAGCCCTGCTTTACCCCACAGCAGGGTTACAGACCCAACCCTATTCCCAGAAGGCAGAGAGAAGTAAGGCAGGCTCCGTTTCCAGTAGGTTGTTTTTCAAGGAGAGAACAGGGAAAGCAGCAGCTCCTCCAACTTTCTTTGGGGATAAAGAGTGCCTCTCTCCACCTGGAAAAGGATAAGCAGAGGTGGGGGCTTTACAACATCAAAGATGTTGTTTCAGCTATCTGATCTCAGTACAGTACCCTCAGCCAGACTGGGTTGGAGGTGGGGTACCAGGGAGCTCAGATATGCCATGATATAGACATAGATCTATAGGGAGAGGAAATTCCAGCTCTACAGATAAATAAAGCTTATCCAGAGAGCTGCCTGTCTGTAGGGAGAGAGAGACAGATAGGCAGTTAGGCATGTAGAGGGAGACAGGTATGTAGGCAGGTAGAGACTTAGGTAGATAGGCGAGTGGGTATATAAAGAAGTGGATGGATAGGCAGATACCTGGGGAGTAGGCAGATGAGGGGGTGATAGGGCAAATGGGTAGGTAGGTCGATAGGTGGGTGGGCAGACAGATCATGTGTGCTGCATATCTTGGGAGAGAGCTGCCCTAGGAGCAGAGATCAAAGCATAAGCCCATCTGCCGGCTGTCCTTTCCCTGCCCCTCCACAGCTCGCTCACTGCAGAACTTTCACCCTCTGGAGGAAAGATTCACGCCAATTTGGGAATGTGATCGAATTCAAGAGAATTATGGAACTCTATTGCAAAGATTAATTGTCATTGGATGATGATCAAGAGATTTGCAGGCACGTGATTGCAGTGAGAGAGTCAAAAGAATGAACGGCCTTGCAAAGGAAAAAAAAAAAAAAAGGTGGAAGTTTATCCAGACTGTGCCAGGATCTGGAGGCGCATGTAGTGTCTGAAAGGGCATTGGATGCTCCAGGGTTGTTCATATCTCATTTGCAGAGCTTGCCATCCCGATACCTTTCACCACCCAGTCTCGTAGCTGGATCATCTCCAAAAGGCTACAGAGTTAAAAGAAAGCTGTTCAGTTTTACAGACAGGGAGAGGGGCAGAGGAATAGCGCAGACCTCTGTCAGGCTGTACAGCTTTGGGTGTCCTTGTGACAAAGCTTCAGGGGTCTCTGTGATGTGATGTGCTATGTGATCCACATCCTTTGTGCCCCGCAGGGGCATCCATGCAGCCAGTGTCCCTAGGGCCAAGTCCTCCCCATCCTGCCGTCCCCTTCTCTCCCCCCTTGCCCCTGCGCTTCCCGCACACCCATACACAGCGCTGCCTCTCGCACAGCTCGTTGAGCTGGTGGGGAAATGCAGCTGTAACAGCAGTGAGAAAGACCTTCCGGCACCGTGGCTGTGACCCCGTCAGCCTCTCCCTCCCCAGCCACGGCCCTGTTTGTACCCACAGCCTTCGCCAAGATGAGTCTTAGGCATTTGCTTGGAGCTGCTGAGAGGCACTGAAAGTATGGGTCTAACCCAGCTCATTCTCCTGCCATAAGAAATTAAGCACTGTCTAGCTCTGGGGTTGGGATCCCTGACAGGACAAGAAGTGGCTGCCACACAGGCATCCCAGGTGTTGGCTGGAGCTGGCAGGCACTTACTCCTCTGGCAGTAACTTCAGCTGGTTTAGTTCTTTCTGCTTCTCTGCTGACTTAGGGTTCTCAGCTTTTCCCCACTTCTGCTTAATCTTCTCCTTCAGCCCTTGGTCATATGCCTTTCTCCTGATGAGGGTGGGTGTACTCTCCCCAAGAGAGTAGGGTTTCTGCAGGGCAGAGAGACTCTTATGCACAGCACCGCAGCTCGACAGTGCTGCTTTCTCCAGTGCAGACCCCACAGGTGACTCTGGCAAGGGACACCGCAGTAGCAGCTGGACAACCAAAAGTGTCACCTCACCACCGCCCCTGGTGGGGTGGTGTGGTCTGGCCACAGTTTCACTGCAATTCCCAGCCAGCCCCTCTACCTCAGCCTGCCATCCTGTACAAGAGGAGGCAACTGCCATTTGTAGGAGCTAAGAGGAATCCTCTAGTGGGGTTTGGCAAGCCAGACCAACTGATCCTAACGATCCCTTCTGGCCTCCAGGTGCAACATTAGCATTAGTGTTCAAATCCACCACTTGCTTCTCCAACAACTGACACCCTATACATGTCTTTCGATCATGAGGAGACCCAGTTTTAGATGTTGCTTTGCCTGCCCTGTATACTTCTGGACATCATGTCTCCAGCTTTGACAAGGAAGTGACCAGGGTGGGAATTCATTTTTCCTCTCAGAAAAGCTTTCTTACCAAATGTTCTGTGCTCTGTAAAAGCTTCCTCCATCTTTTGATGTCAGCCAGCCCTGGAGTATAGCCATATTCTCCCTCTGGAACCACTTCTTCTAAAAGAGGTTTCAACTATTATGCAAGATTAAAAAAAAAAAAAAATAGATTGCATTTGAGACTGAGGTGTGAGCAGTGAAGAAATCACCAAACAGCCTAACAGGCATCTAGTGACTGTAAAGCCATTCTCAGGACAGTCAGCCCTAAATTCTTCTTTCTTCCAATGGAAACACTGAAGGCGTAGTCTCCTGTCCTCTGGAGGCAACAGTTTTTTTAAGTCTGTGTGCTTGGGTCCTAGCCCTTTAGTTAAAAATTAGATTGACAAAACCCTCCAGGGTTTATGATTACAAACAGTATTCCTGGTCATGTCAATATATAGCTAGTAAAGAGGAAGATCAGCGGGAGCTGTGTCCCTGCAGGCAGTCGGGATATGGCTGGCTCAAGCCACTTGGCTGGGAAAGCTTGTGTCCAGCCTCCAGTGTGGGCACCACAGGCAGAAACTGCCTCAGTTGAAGGCAGGGACAATCCCCCATGTCCTCTCCCCAGCAGACCGTGAGTTTTGTCCTGTGGCACACGTGGCAGACAGCTGTCAGCACCCTGCTGCCTTGCGGAAGTAGCGCTACTGTGGCTTGGGGAGTTGAGATACTTTCAAATCACAGCCCTCAGCTGAGAGAAAAGCTATTTTTCTGTGTACTTTAAAATGCTGCTAGTACCTTGGCCATCCACTGCTCTTCTTTTTCTCTCCTAGCTAGTACAGCTGCCAGGTCTGCCCTTTCTTTCTTGCGCCTGTCTTCGTCCCAGGTTGCCCAGCGATTTCTTTGGTCCCATGGGGTAGGCAGGTATTGTACCTCCTGGAGGGCCACAGAGACACACCAGCATGCAGAATCAGCTCCTCTGCTGGGACTTGGTTTCTCTCTCACCCTCTCCCGCCCCTTGCCTCGAGCCTTTCTGTCAGCAACGTTTAGCTCCCAGGCTGTTACAAGCCCAAGAGAAGGACCATCCTCTGCTGAGCAATCATCTAAATAATCCATGACCTGAAAAGAAACTCCATTTTCAATCTCACAAAAGCCTAACAGGTAACGTTTCTGTGATAAACGGTGCCCAATACATCTGTTTCACGAGGCCACAGAAGCGCATCCTATACTGCAAAAAAGAGAGAGTAACTTTCATCTTTTCAAGTAACACCCAAAAGGAGCAATTTAACGTTCACGTGAACGCATACCAAAGGGTCTTTTAAGAACCAATGTCCATGACTGTGCTTTTCTGCAATTAACTGCAACACAGTAATTGCACCAATCCCTATCATGCAATCCCTACCTTTCCTGCTCTATTGTGACCTTCACTAACAGTTTGAGGTTGGTCATCAGGAGTGTGTTCGCTCTCAACTTTCTCGTCCTTCTGGGAGCTCTCCATCATTGCTGGCGGCTGGCTAAAGAGACACACCAGGATGAGTTTGTCTGAGCACGTGATGGGTTAGTTCTGTATCCCGTCCTCATCAGCCACGTGCCTGTTTGCGCAGCAGAGGCGACTCTGCTGGAGAGCCACGCTGAGTCCGATTGCTGAGCTCAAATAAAAATTAATCCATGTTAATCCATCCAGAGAGCCAGAAGTCCACAAGGACTCACCCACAAACCCAAGAGCACAGCATCCCCCTCCACTGTTTCACCAAGAGACTCACCTGACAGGAGGCTCTTTTCTCTCCTCCCTTTTTTCCTCCGTCAGCTTGATTGAAGAAATCCTCTCCTGGCCAAGGAGGTGCTTTCCAATAAGGCTCCCTGTAAGCAGAAACTGGGCAGCCTCAGCAGAGCAGCACATTTGTGATGATTCAGACAAGAAGGACATGCAGAACTGCTCAGGCCTCTTCTGAAAATGCCCAGGCCAACTCGGCTTCTCTGGTGGCCCTGTCTCCTAGGGGGCCCTGGACCCTTTCTGACGTTGGCTCTCATTCAGTCCTTCATTTCTGCAGCGCAAACTTATTCCCTGCAGCGTTATTTCTTGACTGCTTTCCTCACCCTTATTCTGAAGTGGGGAGCTAGCTAGGAGATGTTGGTGACCCAAGAGAGTCTCTTTTGGACCAGTAATTTCACAGGAGGAGAATGGTTTCTTAGATCCTTGCCCTGATAGCATATCCACAAATGTCCTTTGGCACATTGCTCCCAAAGACATGCTTTTGGTGAAGCTGATGAATCGTTAAAAGAGAAGAGTTGGAATTCTGACTTCCAAAATGAAATTAAGCTTTGGTGCAGTTTAGATCTAGATGATTTTTCTCATCCGATTAAAAGAAATCGGTTCCGTGAACTATGCCAACTCCTCTGTTTCTTACAGCTCAAGGTAGAATTTGCTATGTGGTCTGCGGAGCGACTTTCTGCGCCTGTGACACTGGAGCTCAGTAAGTGTAACTCAGAGGTACCAACTGCCTGTGGAGTGCTGGGCTGTCCTGAGATCTTGCTGCCTAAGGAATCACTGCAGGTTGACCATCATGGGTAAACAGAGTTACAAGAGGCACATGCCACTGTACCCTGCACTGCACTGCAACCTCAGCTCTCATCCCCCAGCAGAACAGATGAAAGGAAAACCTACCGCTCTGTCAGCAGTCAGCTCTTACTTTACCTTTCCTGGCAATCCTCTCATCAACCATTTCTTTCTCCGCCTTCTTTCCCTGGGTGAGCTTCACAATTCTTTTTCTGTGAGTTTTCCAGAATGGTGGTCTACATACCCTCTTTATCTCCAACCTGGAAAGGAGAAGGCGGCACCATTTGGAATAAAGGGCACCACATTCCCTTTGCAGCTTGCGCTAATCATCAGGAGACAGAGGTGTGCTGGGGCTTCTCAAAAGGCCACAGCACAGGCAGCATCCTCAGGGCCAAGGAGTCTCCATCAGTCTGTTCCAGCGCATTGCCAGCCTTTTGGGGAGAAAGTTTACCCTAACACAAATCCTCCTTGGGGTTCATCTGTTGTCTTTTAGTAAGAGTGGGGAACAGACTCTTGTGTTTTTTCCCCTCTACTTTTCCAAGATCATTTTGACAGAGCTCTGCAGACCCTCATGGACGCAGGCTTCCACTTTGAGAAGTCACTCCCATAATTTACTCAGGTCTCACAGAAGACAGGGAAATGTCACAAATGCATGACTTGTATGGATCTGGTCTTTGATCCACCTTCTGAGAGACGCTCTCCATCCTTCATCCATACATCCTCCAACCTCAGCACACAGGGAACATCTCCATCGCCACCACAAAGGGACTAAAACACTGTTCGACGGGTCAGCCGCAGGTGACAAAAGCGAACATACTCACCTTGGAAACACGAAGATACCTGCATCGCTGTCATCACTTTGAGGAACAAGGGCTTCCCTGTCCGTTATGACCGAATCCTTTGTCACTGGATCCTGCAGTGGTGACAGTGACATGTGAGATGGTGCCAAGGACGCGATCCTTCTGCTCACAGAGGCAGGCAGCCTTTCCACTATTCAGAGATGAGACTAGCCCCCAGAGGGTGGCCCCTCTAACTCAGGACTTTTCCATCAACTGAAAAGAGAGGGAGTTCTGACGAGGAGATGCTGCACAGCAAAGGAGTTGATAGTGGGTAATAAACTGCCAGGCTTTCTGCCAAGGCAAGAATCAAAACGCTCAGCCAGGAGAGCAGTTCTTCACTAATGGAGAAACCCTCAGAAGCCAACGCAGGGGAGGTGGTGGATTAGCCAGGTTTGACTCTTCTCAGCGTCACTGGGACACCGAGCAGTGGGAAGAGCGCTATGGAGACTTTGCAGTGTTTTAGCCCACGTGATTGCGCAGGTCACAGCTGGCCAAGAGAGACCAGTTCACCAGAAATGCAATAGCATTTCTACGGATTTCAAATGCAGAGAAGTAGCAGAAAAAAATCAAAAAACTTACAGAGAGAAGAGCTTCTACCAGGGTCCCGGTTTGATCTAGAGTTTCAAGGAACTCTCTGTAAAATCTCATCCGCACTCTCATTTCTCGGATAACGAGAACACCAATGTCTCTGAAAACAAAGTCCACATCGCATGCGTATTCAAGAAGGCGAGACAGACAGATCAGGGTCTCCTCCATGCACCGCTCCACTGTCCTCTTGCGAAAGAAAGGCTCCAAGCGCATCTTGTGGTGGTACACTGGCAGAATCATCACGTCCCCTGGGGCACCCCAAGAGAGCAAGAGTCACGTACCCCACCACAGAGCAGACTAACAGGAAGTTTTGGCAGCTCCAGGCCCCCAGGTAACGTGTTGCTGCACTGCTGGCATCATTGGTGCCACGCTACAGCTGCGGGATTGGCAGCTTTGACCAGAAACCAGAGCTAACTTGATCAACGGTGGTGTTTTGTACCAGCTCTCACCTCCAGCTCTGTTCTGAGGCTGTCTCCAACTGATGGCAACCCCTTTTGAACTAGACTGAGTCAGTAAAAGCCAGCCTGATCTCCGATGTTTGCCTGCACATGGTCTGGTGTGGCATAAACATGGATCAGCTTTAAATTTCCATTAGCCGGCAATCAGCACAACACTGACCAGGCCTGAGTGGCACAGAGCTGCTCATTAGAAGCCTTTCAGAGAGAGGGAGTTTAATCTTACAGAGCGTTATTAAAAATTTATTCTGAAAGGGTCCTTTTTGGACACTGCTACTTGGTGGGCTGCTTGATTCGGATGAGCTGAAATTGGTCACAGATGTCAGGAAGGAAATCTGTGCTTGTAACCATCACCTAGGAGCAGCTCCTAGCACCCAGCCCTGAGGTGGCCCAAGGGGAAGCCAGGGTTTTCATCACTTCTTACCAGGAATTTCTCTATTAGTGTATTTGATCTGGTGAACCGCTGCAACAGTCACAGATAGATTAAATACAGGTTTCTGAACAGGAAGAAGGTCATTGTTCCTTGTTGGTAAATATTGTCTAACAACAAAGAATGTCCCGAGTCCATTGATTTTCACCCCCTAAAAATAGAACAACAAAAAGAAAAAAAAAATCACAGTGCTTTTTCAGATGGAAAACCTGATCCATCGCACTCAGTGGCCAAGGGACTGCTGAAATCATTGGGGTGGTTGGGAGGAACGTGGTGCAAGCCTTACCCTGTTCAGCAGTAGTTGTCGTTGAATGTACTCAGCCACACCGCTCCAAATACTGATAATATCTGGAAAGCAAGCGAGAGGCAGGTCATGCTGTGCATCAGCGAGCTCACACCCCTGACTGGGGAGGTGGCAGATGCAAGGGTAATCACCTCCCCAGCCCCCTGAATTGAGGTGCAGTGCTGAGTCTTGGACTTCCAACTGTCAGTTATTATTGAGAGCCCAGTCGCGGTCTGGAGCTGAAACAGGGATGTGAGATGTGTTTTGGCCAAGGGGATCCTGTGGCTGATATCCAAAACAGGAAGGTATTTAGAGTTCAGAGCTATGCTGACAGTTGGGAGGTGCAAGAAGTCGCAGCCGGAAGAGCCTAGAGACAGTGGCTGGGCTGCCGGCAGAGATGGAAACTGCAGTAGATGAACATTCAAAGGCTTCATTCCTATCATTGGGCTCCCAGGCAGTCTCTCTGCAGCCCAGGAGTTGCAGGACACCTTGGCCTTCTGGAAACAGGCTCGAGATGCCCACATCTCCCCATGTTTTGTTTGGCCTTTGCACACAGCCTGGACACTGCCAGGTGAGCACCTCCAGCTCCTTCCAGCCTGGAGCTCAGCGTGGGCAAAACCTCTCCTCGAGGCAAGCATGAGTCCCGGGCACCCAGAGCCCCCTTCTGGGTGGTGCCGCAGCAAGGCAGGGGCCTTACCCTCCTGCTGGAGCTCCATGAGCACCGGGTACTGGTGCAGCTGGTACCGCCTGAAGAGAGCATCCCAGTGCATTGCCATCGCTGCTCCACGCTCCCTTGCTCAGGAGTGGTGCCTGCAGCTGGGAGTGACCAAGGACTCCCCTCTCCTCCTGCCCCAACCACCTCCAGCAGGCCCCAGTCCCGCTGCCCTGCTCCTGGCCTGCAGCCCCTCCAGCGTGCCGTAGGGTGGAGCTGCGCTCGCCCAGGCCTCGTGGGACACGCGGAGAGGGCTGGGGGCACTGCAGACCAGGGGGCCATCACCATGGCAAGGGAACATCCCATTGTGACCCCCACTGGCTGACAGCCGTGGCCACATACAGCAGAGGGGGAGCCCTAGGGGTACTGCTGTTCAGCGTCACCAATATGGGGTGACTGTGCTGCTTTAGAAAACGGTGCCCACCCTGGCCGTGGTTGGAGTGTGTGGCTCAGCAACGTCATAGCACTAGAAGAGCCCCTCTGCTGCTTGGGACGAGCAGTACGCGCTCTAATTCTGTCATTTCATTCCAAGCAATGCTGAGCACACAGCAAAACTAGTGGTAGTGGTGGTGGTGGGTGTCACAGAGGTGCAATCCTGCAGCTGCTGCCTCACACTGGGGAGCATCCCTCTTGCAGAGCCTCTGGCCAGCTGTGCAGGACAGAGCTTCTCTGGCCCTCACTGCCAAGAAGGTGTGTGAAACACCAGGGCCTGAGGGCAAGGGAGCAACCAGAGTTTGCACATCAGTCCTCGCAGATGAGCAGGACCTTTTCAAATCTACTGGGCTACTTTTCCCCTCTCCCTTCTCCACTTGCTTTTTGCTTTCAGTCTGGCATTGCATGTAAACCCAAATCACACAAACCCTTGCTCTGCACTATAAGTGAGCCCCCTGCACCACATCAGCAGAACAGATGGAGAGTCAAAGACAGAAATCCTGCCAGCAAAGGCACCAGCTGCCTGCTTTTGCCTTACAAAACCACCTGGACCGTCTCTAACGGAGGTGCCACTGGAGCTAGGAGGAAAGGCTCCAGATTGCAGATATAATGGGGCCCACAAGCTGGGTTTGGCTCTATCCCACATGCCAGCCAGGCGCTATGGACATCTCCCCGCTCCAGCGGACTTGAAGCCTGCAGAGAGCCTCTATTCTGAGGCATGAGCATTTTCTGAGGGAAAAAGCATCCTTCAAATGATCCCAACCAGTCCTGCTTCCCCCAAAAGAGCATGTGAAAGGCATTTTACTTTGGAAAAAGCCACAGCAGCAGCAATCTCTTTTATTCCTATGAATACCCAGGGAGACCAGGTTCCCCAACGTCAGCCCAGCCAGCAACGCTCCTAACGCACGTAGCGCTTGAATTCTCCTATGTCAGTGATCAGAGCGACTGCCTTGGCCACGCAGGTGCAACACGTTTCCTCAGATGTTGTGGGGGCAGTCCTAACAGTGTGCCAACTCTTTTCTTTAGGGACACCTGCAGTTTGCGACAGGAGCTCCGCTCACTGTAGGAAGGACAGGAGGAAGAGGAGCAGGTAAGGCAACACAGCGCTGGGAAAACCATGCCCAGTACCTTTCCAGCCAACAAATCCGTGGTAGCTTAGGGCCTTGTCAGGGGGAGGGCAGTTCCCAGCCCAGCTCCTTACTATACTACTATAAACTCATTTGCCACTGGGAGAGATCATCTTTCTTCCTCGGAGTGACAAGACAGCAGGCAAACTTGCTTTGTGGAAAACAATCAGGGCAAAAAGCTCCATCTCCCACAGCCTGGAAGGCCTGTTATCCTCTGGAGGGAGTCAAGCATTGAGACCCTGTTGTGTCCACACACACACACGCAAACACGCCCACGTGCGGCAGCTGCGTTATGTGCGAAGAAACAGGGAGCAGCCTGGCAGCAAGGTTCCCCAAATGCCTACGCCATGCAGTAGGGATAACAGAGTCCTCAGCAAGCCCGTGATGCACGGCCCCATCACCAAAACAGCACAGCTGCCTCCTTGGCACAGCACCCCATCACCCTGTGCCTGAAATAGCTTCTCTGCTGGAGCGGCACAGGCTGTGGAGACATGCCAGCCCCCTCTACGATCCCTGCGAGGGCAAGCTGAAACATAGCTAAGCTGGCCTAACAGCACGTTGCTGCTGAAACGGGTGATGCTGCTTCCTCCTCCTGCCACCACCAGCCACCGCTTCCCTGACATCCGGTCCAGGATCACAAACTGCAGACTGGGTCAATTCAGCTGGGTGATCAGGCAGAAATTGAATCCTGCCAAAAATATTCAGCCAGAATCAACTCAGTCTGCCGCCACATGGTTCCTACATCGGAGGTAGGGTTCGAGGGGCCTGTCCTGTTGGCAGTGGCTTGCTGTTAGCTTGGCTCCTGTCTTGCCCCCCTGCAGCCAGCATGAAGTGGACAGCTGCTCTAACTGGGTTGTTTTGGTCTCTGTTTTGCATGGAGGCAGCCAGCACCCAGGGGCACAATCCCGTCTCAAGAACCTGGCTGACAGCCGGGGAGTGATTCCCTAGGTTTAAGGGGCGTTGTCCTGGTCCAGCTGCGCCACGGCCTGCACGAGGTCCTGCACAACCAGATCCACGTCTGCCCGGGTGGTGTCTCGCCCCACGCTCAGCCGCAAGGCGTTTTGCGCCACGTCGTAGGGGATCCCACAGCTGAGCAAAATCGAGGAGGGCCTGAGACACAGACACAGAGGTGAGCAGGGTTTAACTCAAGGGTTGAGGAAGCATACGCATCACCTGAAAGCTTCACGGAAGGCATAAAATGGAGCACATCTGTCCAGACGCACTCCAGACCAAACCTGTCTCCCACACAGCAACCTGCCTGCTTTCTGAAGGCACCTGCTCCTGCTGGGCTCATTGCCCGTCAGTGGGTCTGGCCCCTTCCCCTCAGGTAGGGATCTCCTCAGTGTCCATGGGTTGGCAGCTCTGCCATGTCTGTGTGGCATTTGCTCTAGACCAGCTCAAAAGCACCTGCTGTCCCCACACACACTCCGAAAGGAGCTCTCTGAAGAGACCCCATGTGGGCGTCAGTGGGTGAGCTAAGCCTACACAAACCTAAGGCAGGCTCTCTTCTAGCAGTACCAGGAGTTGAGGAGCACCTCCAAGCTTATCTGGCTCACCAGAGCCAGAAGGGCTTCCTTCCCAGCAGGATAGCTGTGGTCAGGCATTTCAGCTGTCTTCCCTGCAGTAACCCTCCCTTCCTTTGCTGCCCTTCAGCCCCTCTGAAAAGCTTTACACCTCCCTTGCTCCATACAACACTGCCCATGGCCACACAGGGTCCCTTTCCCTTTGCTGTTCCCCCCTCCCCACCGCTCTCCTCTTGGGAAAGGACCTGGGCCTGGCAAAGCTGGCTGCTTACCGCTCCCCCTTCTCAGAGTGGCAAGCAGCCCCAACGCTGGCGAGAAGCGTCTTACAGTGCGACAGCACCCTTCGCCCTGCAGCACACACAAGCACAGGTCTCCCAGCGCCCAGGCTAGCTCCAAGGGCAGCCCGTGGTGCGCTGCCTGCCTCTATCTCCATGCCCAAGCTGCAGCCGGGTGCCTGCATTGTCTCAGGCCTGCAGCAGACGGTGTGAGGCAGGCGCTTGGCTCCATGGGGATCACCATGGGGCAGCGGTAGGGTGAGGGCATGCGGGAGATGCATGAGCAGAACTACCTTGAAGGCCTGGGCCCAGGATGGAGAAGTTACAGGTGTTACAGAGACGCTTGGAGCCTGTAAACTGGCTGTTGAGGTGGATCCTCTGCTTCCTGAAGGAGGCCTGGAGAGATCAGAGGGCTGTGAACCACTCTGGGAATGCGAGCAGCTCCATTTCTGTGAGGAGGCAGCTGGGCCAGAGGGTCATGCTCACCCTGATTCAAGGCCCTAGGGAAAACACACCTGGTTCTCGCCTTGCGGACATCTGTGTTGCCCTGCTGACTACCCCTAGAGTCCCAGGCGAGACAGGCAACAGCCCAAGGGAGAGACTAAAGTCTGCCATAGTCCCCCAGCCCCAGCAAGGAGATGGGGTGAGCAGCTGCCAGGACCACATACAGAGGAGATGGGAGCCACAGAGCTGGGCTCGCAGCACCAGGCTGAAGGAGGGACAGGCTGTGACTTCTTCCCACCGTAATGCTGGAGTGGACGAGGGATGGCAGAAGGAAGATAGGTCTAAACGTCTCCCTTACCTGGTTCCCCAGCTCTTACCTGGCCTGGACTCGAGCACCTTTAGCCAGTTTTCTCCTCTCTCATCCTTCGCTACCACCTGTGTCTCTCTTGCCCCTCTCATTTGCCTGCCACTCTGCAAGCTGAGATCCAGGGAGGGGAGAAACGAATGGGAATCAGGTGTGCTCACCTCCAGCCTGGCCTCCAGGTAATCCCGAACATCCTGCATGTGTGCCTCATAGGCCTCCCAGTTTCTGCTCACCAGCTCTGCAGCCTGAGGAGAGAAAACCCAGACAGGCTCCATCAGCCAACTCCCTCTGTGCGCAGCCTCCTGGCATGCCAGTCCAGCCCAGGAAGAGCCTCTGCAATCGCCAGGTCACCCACAAGGCCCCTGGCAGGCTGTAGGTGCCCTGCTGCAGGGAGGATACGTGGCACAGCCTGCGCTCAGTGCTTCAAAGCACTTCCTTTGATGCTGGAAACTCCTGTCTCCTTTCCTTGGAGTTTGTGTGTCCTCCTGCACCCATGGTCTGTCACTTCTAGAGCGTAACATGCTGGTTCCACCAGGCAGCAGCCCGAGGGAAACGCTCACGTCCCCCTGCTCACCCTTCACCGTCACCAACTCACTTTGCCAAGGCCAGCGATCATCGGGGTGTTCTCGGTGCTGGAAGGGAAGAGGGAGCAGTGACTTGTCATTTCTCTGGACCCACAGACAGCACAGCCCACCTCTCTGGCCCACCAAGCAGCCACCTTACCCTGGACGGAAATTCCTCTCCTGTCCCCCTCCAAAGAGCATGGGGTGCAGTGGGACGGTGGTGCCGGGGCCACGCACATACAGCGCGCCAATCCGTGGAGCATAGAACTACGGGGACAAACAGCCACCCTGAACCAGGGCCTGGAGTCTCGGTGCCCCTTTGCTGTGAGCATACCCGAATCCAAGGGCCCTCCAGCGCTGACCCCAGCCCGTCTCACTAGCACAAGCTCCACGGCTGTCTCGGCCTCCTCTGCATGCTCCATGATGGAAGTCTTGCCTCCCGCCCAGGCAGCCCCAGCTTCTTGCCCGGTGCTGCCAAACAGATCTCCCCCAACCTGCAGGAGCCATCTCACCCATCTTTGCCCAGGAGCAGCCTCAGGGTCCAGAGGACTCACAGCTCCATGCTTGCACCCCACCATACTCTCGTGACGGACACCATAAGCGCGTGGCCATTCCAAACACCCCAAGTGTCACCTTGACATGCCTGTGGCTGCCATGGCCCAGCTCTGCTCTCATCTCCACATCCTCCCTCCAGAGCTGGGGCAGTGCTGCATGCAGAGCACCTCAGCCCCAGCACTGGAAAAAGGAAGAGCTGAGTGGTGGCACCTCCCAAAGTCCCACCAAAGTGCTGGGGCAGAGCTGGGATCAGCGGGTCTGAGGGCAGTGGGCAAGAGAGGAGCAGGAGGTGCTGGGGAAAATGATCCCCGAGAGGAAGTAAGGGTCAGGCCCCGCCTCAGAGAGCAGTGATCAGATGAGGGTCGGGGTGAGAGCCACCCCTTCCCTTGTGGGTGCCATTCACAGGGAGATGGACCCAAATCCCTTGCTCCCATCTCTCACAGGTAAGAGACTCCTGCTCCACAGCCAGAGCAGGGCCAGGCCAGGATCCCAGTGCCCTGAACGAAGCCGGTGGAGGGATGTGCTCTAGCCCACGTGCTTCTTGTCCAGAGACAGCTGGTCTTCTCCGCTCTCGCCCTTTGCCACTGCATTTCCCACAGCTGCCCCGATATAGCCTCACTGCAACATAACCCAGGGGTGCCCCAGCAGAGGGGATGTCCTGCAGGGAGAACGGCTCGCCGGGCCACACGAGCAGGGCTGTACCTTGTGTCCCACGATGGTGAGGTAATCCACCCCCAGCTCCTGCACGTCCACACGCCCCTTGCCGATCATCTGCGCCGCGTCTGTGTGCACCAGGATCCTGGGCAACAGCGCAGGTGTTCTCTTCCGGTTGAGGGCACGGATGCGCTGGCTCAGCTCTGAGATGGGCTGGCAGGAAGGAAGAGGGTCTGCATCTGAGCGACCATTTGTTCCCCCTTATCACACCCTTTTGCAAGGATGTCTCCCAGACACCTTCCTGCACGGTGCATGACCTTGTCTCATCCCACTTGCTGCTCCGTAGGTCACCAACTCACCATGATGACGCCAGTCTCGTTATTGGCCAACATGATGGAAACTAGGCAGGTGGTTGGCCGGACCGCAGCAAGGATGTCGTCCACTTCAGCCTGCCCGCTTCGCACGGACACAGGCACGAAGGTAGCCTCTGCAAGCCAAGAGAAGAGCCCCAAGGATTAATAGAAAGCCTGACAGAGCCCAGGACAGGCCAGCGAGCATGCACGAAGAGAGCACTCTGGCTCTTGGGGCACCAGCATCGGATGCCAATGGGATGATGTACCCAGCTTGTGGGAATGGGAGCGCCGCACAGGGTGTTAGTACCCTTCAGAGTTAAAAAGGGGAACGTCATGGAGCAAGTAGGTCCCCGTCCTCTTGTGCCTTTCACATCTAGCACAGCAAAAATGCTAATAGGCAAAATCCCCCTCTTCTACAACCGCAAACTTGAGCCTGCGGCCAGATACCACCACCTCTCTACCCTGCTGCCAGTGACCTCCCTCCAGCCCTCTCCTGGGCACCCACGCTCACCTGCCAGGCCCTCTTTCACCAGGTGCTCCAGTGGCAGGCGCACAGAGTCGTGCTCCACGCTTGACGTGATGATGTGCGGAGCGGTCCCTGCTGCTCGCGGGCCACTGTCCCCAGGCCCGTCTTGGCTCTGCTCCCAGCTCTCTCGGAAGTGCCCCAAGGCAGTGTGGATCACCAGGTTGTTGGCCTGGGGGAGACAAAGGCAGAAGGAACATCAAGGCACAGAGCCAAAACAGCACCCTTCCTCTCCATTGCTCGCTTGCTTGAAAGGAAACAAAGGGCACCAATGAGCTGATCACAGCCAGATGCCCAGCACCTGCTGCCACCCACACCTTCAGCCAGGGTGGAAAGCTGAGGCACTGCCCCCACTCTTGGGGACAGCAGGGAGGCTGCGTGCCCCTCTCTTTACAGAAAAGATGGCCAGTCACCTTCCCGGGTGCTCTCACCTCTGTGCCCCCTGAAGTAAAGACGATATCCTCTGGCCTTCCTCCCACCATCCTCGCCAAGCTCTCCCGGGCATTGGTGATGATCTCCTTGGCCTTCCTACCTGTGAGACAAGGCGCAACGAGTTCTGTTATGTGTCTGATGGAGAGGAGCTAAAAGGCAGTTGTGCTGCAGGAGTTTGGTCCTGAACCAGAGAAGGCCGTAGGGCCTTTATTAGGGGTATTTAGAGTCCTTAAGGCCCTTGGGAATCTGGACCCAAACAGACTTCCAGCAGGCAGCCTGGGATTTTGCATGTGAGGTGGGGTTTTCCTCTATGTTTCCCACAGTCCTCTGCATGAGTCTAGGTTGCAGCATGGGGAGAAGAGTGGAATCAGGTGACCACAGCAGCAGGCAGCCACAGCCACTTGCAGGTGACACACAGCCTCAACTGCCACAGACAGTGCACAGATGCACAGCGAAAAGTTGCCACCAAAGAGCAGGCAGGAAATCCAGGCCCAGAAGCGTTACTCCAACCCAGCATTCGCACACTGACCGCAAGAGCCAACCTCAAACCCAGGAACCGCTTGTCCCAAATCGCCCCCGAGGTTTCCAGCCACAGGGGTGCTGCGTTCAGCCCGGCCAGAGCTGCGAGCCCCGTTCTGCATTGTCCTCCCCAGCCCCCAGCTTCCCCACTACCTGCTATATAGGAACTGCTGGGATTGCCCCAGGCGTCCCGCATGGCCTCCGACACAGCCTTGATCACCTCCGGGGCCAGGGGCGTAGTGGCATTGTAGTCCATATACACCTTCCTGCTGGGGGGGGAAGCAGCAGTGAGCCGGAGGGGAGGAGAGCCCCACTCGCCTGTGCTGTCTTGGCAGGCGCTGCCGGGCCCAGGCCCACCAACCACTCGGAGGTTTTAAGCAGGGCTCCTGCAGCAGCCCCACAGCAGCAGGCGAGGCGGGGGGCTCCCATCTCTCCCCACCG